GGATCCTCCTGACCCTCCCTCCCCACCAGCCGACCTCAGGCCACCCCAGCTGGAGGCTGCTGTGGTAGTTTTCCACGCCTTCTGTTCTCTGCCTCATACACACGTCGCACAGATAGATCCAAAGTCTATATCTATATATACTTCTCACTCCCCCACCCCCGGACGGCGTGCGTCTCGTTTGCCAGGCTGTGGTCGTGCAGTCTGTCGCTCGTTAAGGCACTGTCTCAGATTTGCATGTTTAATATTTTATCCAGGAAGCGCTCCTGGCTGGGGCCCTGGGAGGTGGTGTGAAGCCGACAGAATGTCAGGCCCCGGAACGATGGCTCACGGGTGGTGGCGGTGGGACGAGTGTCTGGGGGACTGGAGAATGGTGACGCCAGTTCCTGGCTGCTTGTCTGGCTTCGGCGTGGGGGTGGGGGTGGGGAGAACATCTCGGAGATCAGCACCCCAGGCCTGTGCAGGGAGCCTCCCGTCCTCCGGGCACTCGGCCGGTGGAAGGGTGAACTCCGATGTGAACTTGCTATTTTAGTTTCAGCAGCTCCTCCAGGTCATTTCAGTGTCTGGGGATTTTCCAGTGGGAAGCAGCCCTTTGGTTCCATGGAGAAGTGTCAAGTTGCCCCTGAGCCAGGGCACACCATGGAGGCGGACAGAGTGGGTGGGAGGAGATGGGGGGGAGAGCATTGAGTGTGGCCAGTGCTGTGCGACCTTCGGGTGTCATTGAGCTCTCTGGGCTCCTGTGAGTGACAGGGGAGGACCGTCAGCATCTTCACTCCCACCCGGACATGTTGGAGACCTGAGTTAGTGGAAGGCAGTACAGGGTGTTGAGGGCGATCTTTTCTGTTCCCAGATATTTGTAAAGACCTGAGCGGGCAGGAGGGGGAGAGGCAGGGGAAGATGGGGCTGTACCCCAAGGGCAGATGGAAAAATCTGAAGATGGAAGGCGGGGGGAGGGGAGCACAGACAGACACGGGCCTTTCATTCTGACCCTTGGGAGGCATGAAATGCCTGATTGTGCCTGTGTCCAGAGGCTCAGTGGGGCCTGGAGGTTGGGAGGAGAAGGGAGAGCCTGCTCCATCCCCCAAGACCCTTGGGAACAAGATCCCCACACATTCTGCTGTAGTCTGGCAAGGCTCCTACAGAAAGGCCTTCTTAGAGAGGGCAGGATGGGGCCTGGCCCCAGACTCTGCTCACCATCCCCCTCCTCTGCCCGGGGCCCTGGAGGTTTATCAGTGCAGGGCTTAGCCCTGGTAGGGGGTAGGGGCCAGGAAGGGGTGTGTGGGGGAGGGTGTGTGTGATTAGCTCTCAGTCTGCCACTGGGATGCCCTCCTGCCCCAGAGCTGCCCGCCCCACAGCTGTTCCCGTTGCTCCTCCCCCAGGTACCAAGTTGGGAAGTTCTTCCTGGTGTCTTGCCTCAGTTCTTTCTGCTGCCACTTCAGTGCAAAGACTCTCTGTTCTGCCACCTTCGGGGATTAGGGCCCCTCATGTCCTGGGGTTTGCTGCTTCCGCCACCCAGGAAGAGGCATCGGGGTTTGATATGGAAGCTTGGAAGCCCGGTCTGCTTCTCTGGTCCATTGCTCTGCCCACACACATAGAGGGCTTGGCCTCTCTGTAAAGTGATACCCTCCTGTCTGCATCCCCACCATCCACCCGATGAGAAGGAGCTGGAGAGGAGGCTTCCAGGGCCTCCAAACAACCACAACGGACTCCACCAAGCCGCGCACCAAAACACAGACAGAGTCCATGCTGGCGAGTGCTCTGCTCCTCATAATGCTCCCCATCTAGGTCAGTGGTTTGCAAAAGCCTTTACACTTGGGACTTTTTGTCCAAAGCGTATCATGCAGAAACAGAGAGAAACAAAGCCAGGAAAAGTCCAGCTACTGTGATGGAACCACTGGTGGGGACCTGGTGAGGCCTGCCTGCTCTATACCTCCTGCCTCCTGGAAGCCTCTCCTGCCCCTCCCGCCATCCCCTAGGGGCTCCTGAGAGGCCCCCCGCAGGACTCCCAGTGCTTGGCAGGGCACAGCTAGAAAAACACTGATCTGCAAAATCTCATTTTTTAACTCTTGGAAGCTGCCAATCAAAAGGAATGGGGGCCGGCAGAGATAGGAGTGTGACAGTCCCACAGGTACAACTCGATGGCAAGGAAAGAAGAGGCAGAATGATGCTAAAAAGCAGACATGCAAACCTGAAGGGCTCAAGGCTGAGTTTGGGGGTGACCTTGAATGCTCCTCAAGAAACTCTGGGGGCTGGACTGAGTAACAGCACCTGCTCAGAGTGGGGGCCTGGGGTGTTAAGGGAGGGTCATGTTTGTTGGAAAGGAATGAGATGCGAAATTTAAGACTGCCCTCTACAATGGTTCAAGTACAAAAACATGGAACAAGCTGGGTCCTTGAAGGTGAACTCTAAGCTCACTGAATACGTTGACTCACCCAAGGAGCGCAAGACTTCAGCGTTTTGAGCAGTGGTTCTCAGCTGGTGGGATGGTCTTGGTCGCCCCCAACCCCACTCCAGGGGACATTTGGCAATGTCCGGAGACATTTTTGGTTGTCACAACTGGGAGGGAGCTGCTACTGGCATCTAATGGATAGAGAGTGACCAGGGATGCTGCTGAGCATCCTGGGAGGCACAGGAAAAACCCCTTCAACAAAGAAGCCCAACCCCAAATGTCCATATGCTAAGTTGAGAAGCCTTGGTCTAGACACTAGATGATCCCGAGGTCTTTGCTGTATCTGTTTATTTCCCCCACTAGAGTATGTTCCTGTAAGTTAGAAATAATGAGTCTTCTACTTGTCTACAGCATCTGCCTCTGCACCCAGTAGGCACTTTACAGGTGTCACATGAATGTATGAACAAACAACTCACCTGGACAGGGTGGGCAGCACTCTCCTTCAGGTCCAGAGCCCAGTTTGCCTTGGAGGAGGTGCCTACTAATTCTCCAGTTTAGTTCATAGACCCTGCAAGGGATCCTGACCCTGGACAACTCTGGGAGAAAGCTGGGGAGGGCTCACCCAAAAGTGCTTGAGCTGTTGATTCAAAAAGAACAGATGCTCATTCGAAAATGTAATTTACATATATTTGCATATCACTTTGAATATCATTTGCATGCTGCTCCTTTAAAGTCAAAAGGCACAGATCTCCTGCCCTGTCCTGTCTTTCCCGTTTCTACAGAGGCCTCCTCACTTTCTTTGCACACTCTCTGGGGAACACCCACCTGTAGGGCTCACATTTGCTTAGGTTCCCCGGGGCCCAGCACAAAAAACTTAGGAAATTTGCAATGCGAGATGCCAAAAAAAAAAAAAAAAAAGCAGACCCCTTGCGTTCTGCCCAAACCTTATGGTCAAGGTTGTGGCCTTTGGTATCCTACGTGCTTGAGTTTCTATCTGGCCTCTGCCATTTCACAAACTGTGTGATCTTGAGCAAGTTATTTAACCTCTCTGCCCCTCAGTCCCTTCATCTGTGTAATGGGGGCAATAATATTCACCTCATAGACTTATGGTGACGATTCAACAGGAAAAGCCATCGGAGTGCCAGGCATTTGGTAGACACTCCAGAGCTGGCAACTGCTGTGCTTGCTGTTAACGTCTGGTTTCTTTGAAGTCGCTGTCACCAGGGAGGAGCCGTTTTTTTTATTTTTTTAATTTTTTTTATTTTTTATTCTTATGTTAATCCCCATACATTACCCGCTCTTCTGAACTTCTTGTTCTGCAGCCAGTCCCTTCTCTGATCTCTCTTTCCTTCTTGCAACTCTCTCTTTTCTTGGCTTTGAGTTGCCACTGTCTTCCGGATTTCCTCCCACCCTGCTGGCCTCTCCTTCGTCTGATTCCTTCTCCTCTGTCCTACCCCTAAAGTTTGGAGGGCCCCAGGGCTTGGTCCAGGACCCCTCATCTTTTCTCCTTGGGTGTCCCTGGCTTTACCCATGAGCCCCATGCCAGGGGCCCTCAATGATCTCTTCAGCCTGGAGACTAATAGTCAACATCTACCTGATACCTCTACTCCCGATGTCTAAAAGGCATTTCAAGAGCCACATCGTGATTCCTCGTCCTTTTCCTCTCCCAGGCTTCCCTACTTTCAGTCAACGGTACTGTCCTCTGCCCAGTTGCTCAAGCCCCAAACCCAGAATAAGCCTTTGATTTCTCTCTCTCTCACTCCCTGTGTTAGTTAGTTATGTATTGCTGTGTAAGAGATGACTTTCCAAAACATAGAGGCTTAAAATAATAAGCATTTATTATCTCACACAACATATGCTTTTTTTGGGTCAGGAATCCGGAAGTGACTTAGCGGGGCTTCCGAGTCTCGTGAGGCTGCAGTCAAGATGCCAGTGAGCCTGTAGACGTTTAGAAGGCTTGCCTGGGCTGGAGGATCTGCTTCCAGAGGGGCTCATTCACATGCCTGTTAAGTTAGTGCTGACGGTTGGCAGGAAACCTACGTTCCTTGTCATGTGGACGTTATAGCGCTCTTGAGTGTCCTTATAACATGGCAGCTGGTTTCCTCTGGAGTAAGTGATCTGAGAGAGAGAGAGAGAGAG